GAAGCTTTATCAAGTAGAGTGAAGGTATTCATACTGCTGTACTTTATCCAATACTGGATAGCGTTTCGGCGGTTGTGCCTTTCTTAGGAGGAATTGCTTGGGCTGTGAACGTGCTAAGCTGAGTGGATTGCCTGTTAACTTGATCTTTCCAGGCTGCGAACAAAGCGAAATCCATCGAAACGTCAGCTAGCATTGACTAAATCTTATAATGGACAACCTCGTTTCTGCATAGAATAAAGAACTATGCCAGTGAACAAAATTGAAATTAATAAGAGGTCTGTCATGGGAATTAAAAAACCGTTAGAATCATTACACGGTCGCGTAGAAAACATGTTGGTTCATTTCGACTTTTCTAAAATTTGAAGTATCAGACCGTGAAGTCGTTGAAGGCAGTTGTGCCTTCGACATGGTTTCTGAAGCATTTCTCGTAAGAAAATTGTTGAAATGCTCGAAGAAGTTTTATTCGGGGATCGAGTAACCCAGCTGCTATAGTGGACAAGGCAGAGCTGTGGTCGTTCAACTTTTGCAGCATTGTTGTGCAACGTCTAAACCAATTCCTACGCACCCATTTGTCCACAATTTTCTACTGTTAAACTTCTTTGGTGCTCCGAAACGGCCTAAGATGCTTACACCGAGTTCGTTCTGGAAATTTCAGAACAATTGTACATGTATTTGCTTCCACCAATGTCGTCATCAACGTCGTCTAGGGCAGAAGTGCATTCACTATCACTACCTTCGAATTCACAACGACGAAATTTGCTAGACCCAAACGCACTGTGCGTTCGATAGCACTTCCTTCGTCCCACACCTTATTAGCTCTTTGAGGACGGCATGCCACATTATGTAGCTCACCGGCGGTGTCGCGTCTCCTCTAGAATTTTTTTTTTTTGGTGCACACCACGTTGAAAATAAGAAGAATCATTAGGTAAATTGAGGTTTTGAGGGAGAATCTTCGCCATTGAACAATGTAATATACCGAAGATACTTCTATTGAGGTTTTTTTTTAGTCAAAAGACATCCATATGTTGAAAAAATTTCTCATAATTCAACGAGAAAACCACATCGCTTCGCTGTGAAGGGGAGCGTAGTTTAGTTAGTATATAACATCAGTTTCTTTTGAATTTTCTTCTTAATACTCGATAGCTTAAATGCTTATTTTGATATAAAGCTTGGCTTTTTAGTAAACTTTCGTAGGCAGTTCTACTAATGAAAAAAGATACCGCTCGGCATTTGGAGAGATTTCTGAGCATCATGTCGAATTTTTTTTTGAATTATGTGGTAAAACATTTATTCTTATCAAACTTTTTTGCTATGAAAAGATTGAATGTTATTGGATGGACTCCTATAAACGTATTTTTAGTAAGAAGAACGCTTATGTTTCCTAAAAGCCCCGGCTTTTCATAATGAGTTGTATGGAATGCAATCGCCGTGTGTGGAATGTGCTTGTATTTCCTCGCTTTTTTCAGCTGAGCTTTCTCACGAGACTTTTATCAATCACTCGATTGCTTGAGAAATGCTGATTTCATGCCGTGTTTAGTATATGAAAAGACTTTCATACATTGTTCTAATAGCAAAAAGAAAACAGCGTTCTGCTCTTGGAACGCATTGTTCCAACTTCAGAGCGGATTTTTTGGTATTATGTAGTAAAATTTTGATTACAGGCAAAACTTTATCGCTATAAAAAGATGGCTTATTGAAAAAGGGACTTCCATTAAAATACTTTTAGCACTTTGAACTTTTGTATATCCCAGCACCTCTTTGTTAATGCGAAAGAGCCATCAGAGCCATCAGTGGGATAAGAACATATTTCCAACCATTTCCAATTCTTTTTTCACGTCTCTTAATTTTTAGAAGAAACTTTTACGAAGTGTTTTTGTTATGCAACCGATGTAAGCCCTGACAGACTTCGCATTCTTCAGCTTGCGGAATACGTCTTTAGAAAAGTTCATTTATACTGATCATTTAGTACTCCTTTTCAGTAGACTATTAGCAGTCATTCGACAGCATGAAAAAAGGAGAATTTCGTGGTGAGCTTAGTTTCAGGAGACCTTCTTAGGGTGCAGTTCTGACGTGTAAGAAATGCACCATGCTATTGGGTAGTTAGCTCGCTCTTCTGGACTTCACAGCGATTTTTTTGACACCCTTGTAGTAAGGTTTAGATGTTAGAAGCATTTTATCAAAACAAAAAAAATGCAGTATCACTTTTAACTCTTACTACACATACTTTTCGTCTATCTTATGAGAATGAGGGCGTTTTTTTCTCACCATTAATCGTTTAATTGTCATAGATTTTTGTGTGTTCTGCAAGCATTACGTCCCCTTAAATACACTCGTCGTCATCATAAAAGAGGGTAGCCTTTTGGAACACGATACCTTTCTCGACCACCCAGAGATTACCTTTTTAGTGGTTTTTTGGTAACATTGAGTACAATAAAGTGCAATATTGGCTGAAGTTTCGGAGGTTAACTCATATGCGAAGCCTGGGAATTTCGATTGACTCGCAATCTGCTCCAGTCGACCACTTCCGAAGATAGATTTCCTAAGATAATAAATGCCTAGTGATTGAATAATGAGCAGTGTGGTAAACATCTGAGAAAGTGTGCAATCTAATCTTATCTTTTACTAGTGTTTGAAACTTTTCACTCAAAATATTTATCTGGGCATACTTCTTCTTATAATTTCTACACTGAGCAGCCTTACAATAATTTGCATTAAAGTTGTTCAGAGAGTTGTTTCTGTACCTGATAAGACTCTAAGTTCCATTCAAATTGCAACATTGTGAAAAACTACGCACTCTGCTGTTAAATCGATCGCGCGGATTGCCGCGAGAGCGATCAGCGCGACGCCACGTGCTATCGCTAACACATTCCGGGCGGCGGGATTTTTCTTGGTGCGCGATATCTTTACGCACTCATTTCAGTGAATATTTTCCGTGGAGCCCTGAAATGGCGCAGTGAGCTGGTTTTTGAGGCCGTCGTTCTATTCTTTGGATTTCAGGAAGGAAAGACGGAGAAAAACAAAGAGATTTTGGGCTAGAAAAAGGCCAACTGGTTGGCGCAATCAAATAATTGTTCAACCCTGCACGAATGCCAACTATGGCGGCCGGAGTGTGTTAGTGTTTTCAAAACGCTCCCGGTGCTTACATCCGAGCTCAAACTCGTAGAAAATCGACTAATCAAAATTGCTGTTTGGCATTACGTTTGTTATCCTATATTAGGTTGAAAACTAAGTTGTAGCGTATTTTCTTGGTTATTTTTTTTTACTCGCAAAAGAATCTATTTCTTGGTCTTTTTATAGTGCTTGATATCATTCGAAAGCTCGTGATCTCAAGATACTAAATCTGCAAGCGTTTTATTTTTTGCAAATATGTAAATTTTTTTTTCTTTAGAATGATTACAGATCCTTTTACACATCATCGACTTTGGCAAAGTGTTTTCCTGCCACACAATGTTGCAAATACCTGGAAATGTGGTAATCACTTGGAGCAGCATCTGAGCTATGCGGTGGATAAGTTGATCATTCCTACGCTAATTCTTCAATCTTTTGCAATATCAGACGCACATATGTGAGCGGGCGTTATCTTGACGCCACCTCGATAAATCTGTCACAGCAGATTTTGACGTGTTGGTATCGCCTTCGCGAAGTTTTCTCAACCATCTTCGTGTAGTTCGTAGATCAACTGCATTGTGGTTAATTGCTTTGCATAGTTTTGTGTCGCTCCGGTGGCAGAATGATCCAAGTAGAATGTTCAGGCGACGTTCACGGCTTAAGATTTGAAGTGCTCATTCTAAAGTAATGAAAAACTTTAGACGTTTACAAAAATCAAATGGTTCATATATTTAGACTTTGTAATTAGCAAACTTCCGAACCATGTAAAGCACAATAAGAAAAAGACCAAGAAATAAATTTGATGCTAATAATTGAAAATAACATTGAACATAATAGAACTTAGTGCCAACCTAATAAAAAAAATTGTACACTGTTACAAAAAAAATGGCTTTCGACATTTATAATCTTGCGATCGCGAGCTTTCGAATGACGTCAACGCGATAAAAAAACCTAGAAGTAAAAGTATTTTAAATAAATAGAAATAACAAAAAAAAACACGACAGAATTTAGTTCGAGCTTCATGAATGTCAAGAACACAATGTGTGTGGTAAATCAATTAGTCAAAACACAATGTATATTATAAATTAATCATTTAAAGCTGTTACATATGAAATAGCATATCATCTCGCCATTCGAAGATAAATTCTCGCCAAATCATACTTTAGAAGAACAAAATCACTTGCCCTGCGTTAATATTTGAAAAGCCTAATAAATTGCTCTTTGTGAAGCTTACCTCTCTTTTTGTACTCGTTTCTTTTTTTCTGGCTAAACTTATTTATTTATGTATTTCTCTTTCTTGCTGACATTTGCAATCATTTATTAGTCCTGGTATTCAATTTTCATAGTGTACCCAATGAATGCTTTTAATTTTTTAAAATGACTCTTAAGTAGACGCAAGATTCAAATGTGTAAAAGCAGATATTGAACTACTGTGATATTGAGTTCGTTATCGCTTCTGAAAGGAGTTTGAACACTTGCTCAACCTTTTGACTTCCAGTCTTTTTTTCCTGGGACTATTCGAGTTGTTTTTCTACTCAAACCAGAAGGTGTGCTACAACGAGCGCTTGAAGTCGGATATCGAGCGATAGCTGAGAACTGTTCGTTTAAGGTGAGTGATACTTGACATGAGCTTATGTTCCCTTATTTTCTTAAGTTTATGATTTTTCACGGCGTTCTCATGTGACGCTGTTTCGCTGTGATCAATAGAATTCATAAACCTTACTGCATATGGAGTCTGCTAAGCACTGCTGAATATTGCGAAATATCATTGGCTCATGAATTCAAACTTTCTCATAACATTTTATAAAACATTAAATGGAAATAATGAACCGCTTTGGCGGTGGTAAACTTCATAAATGTACTCAGTGATGTAGAGTGATGTGCACGACTTTCGCGTTAAGCGGGACTCGAACCCGCATCTCACTCTCTCCAGGAGCGCGTGCTCTAACCCGTTGCACTCCTGGCGCCTATTTTACACACCACTCTTTCTACGCTACACGGCTTCTGTCTGTTAGCCTCTAACGGTCCTGCATAGAGTGAGGTGCGGGTTCGAGTCTCGCCTGACGCGAAAGTTTTGCACATCACTTTACATCATTAGGTGTATTTCATGAAACGTCACATTTTCCTCTGCGCTCTGCTTCAGTGAAACGTGAAAGTTCCTTTTTTTGCCTAGAATGATTCTTTCATCTGGTTGCAGGTGATCGTATGTGACTCCTCTGTTGAATTAAGACGGTTTCTAAAGGCAGAGCAGCTTACGATGGACATCGGAGGCCTCATCAAATACAACCACCTGGAATGGGTCCAACATAGAATGGTTAAGTTTGAACGAAATTGCTTGAACGCTTAATACTTGAGCAAAAACATTAACGAAAATCATATTGAAGAGTAGAGTAGGCATACTTTTAAGCATGAGAACGACAAATAACATATTCGCTGAACAAAAATTTGCTTCAAAATAACTCGTTTGAAATCATTAACATGTGATCTTATCTTCATAAAATAACTATACGGATCTATTATAAATGGATTATTTGGCTATAATATGAAAAATATCCGTGCTTTTTTGTAAAGCTCTTACACAAAATTTCAAGTTTCGTAAAATGTTCATCTGATGTAAATTCCTTTTTTTCATACATTTGTTATAGGACATTGAACGCATGAAGTCATCAGCTTCTGCGATCGCACAGTCACTTTGCGATTTTGGGCGAGTTCTTCGTGAGACCGAACTGCCAAACGATGTCGAATCTACAGCCAGAATACTCCAGATTCAAACAGCCGAACGAGATGCAATAAAGGTTTGTATTGCAAAATAATTAATTAAATAACCATTATGAATAAAATAAATAGTTAGTCATCATTCATTATTATTATTTAATTATTATGAGTAAAATTATTTGTTAGTTAGTTCATTATTACGAATAATGATTAATTATTAATAATTATACTTGTATTTACATATAAATATAAGTATATAACTTTCCTATGAGCATATAAATACGTAATTATAAAGATGATTAACTTATGTTTACAGTTATATTTATAATTTACAGTGGCTACTGCTATGTATAAATATAACAAATAAATGTTTATATTTATACATACGACTAAATTTACATAGAGATGGAACTATTTACGCTGAAAAAGCGTTGAAAGCTGAACACGTATTCGACTTCATGAAATATCCTAGAGGCGATCAAACACATATATGGCCTATACTATACATGAGCGCATGTGGCGCAGTGGTTAGAGGTGCCCTGCGTCGCACACGAGGTCAATGGTTCGATTTCGCGCTCATGGCTCACCAAGCCATCCATCCCTCCGAGGTTGGTAAATTGGTACCAGACTGGTCTTAGACCTGTCTGGAGGATAAGCAGCACTGACTCGGTTAAGCGGGAGGCCACCGCGAATCATTGTAAAGGCCAGATATGCATTCAATCACAGCAAAAGAAGTTAGAAATTGAAGACGAATGCATGGCGCCTCCCTTAGGGATCGATCAACGCCAAGAGTTTATTCTTTATCCTTTTTATGGCCTCTACAATGATTTACAGTATGACCTATCATATCAAGTCAGTGCTGCTCTCCTTCCAGAGGTTCCGGGCTCACTAAACCTTTATTCCTCCTTAGTTGTAGGTTGGTACCAGATCTATCTGGCCAGAATAGCAGCACTTACTTGACACATTCGTAGGTCTTCATCGCATGTTGCCTAATAGGCCTTCAATTCAATTTCTATGCATCCGCGATGATGCTTAATCGGGTCGAATGTGTGACATATCTCTGAACATTTAATCCACTTTGAACACCTTCACTACTTTTTTTTGTTCCAAGTATGTTTGATGATACCTTGCTGTAAGGATAGTAGTAGTCGTTGTGTAGGGATGACTTCGGCTGCTGCTGGAAGGTTACATTTTCCATAAGTGTCGTTGAATTGAGGTCAAATTCCTTTTTTGACATCGTGAGATGGTCAAACTACACCGTTCCTAGATCCTCAGAGTTACCATTGGTTATGAGTTATAAAGTGCGACCCGACTGACCTGACCTCATGCTCTCAAGCGAAGTTTGACCTCAAAAAGGTGGGGTTTAGTTACGTTAAAGGTGACAAATCAACGACTTGCGCGTGTTCACCGAGCATATCTAGGATTGCGATATCCGTACCCCTTCGACTATCACCGAAAACTGGTAAAGAAATGGCAGTTCATTTTTGCCAGTCTTATGATATGACTTTATGTTTTGTTCGCCAAGGTTCTATATTTTATTCGAAGAGAACTTATGCTCAGGAAGACTTTCGAATATCAGTACGAAAAGGAATGGCGCTACTTGGGGCAGTGCGCCAAATCGAGGCGAAACCCCAACATGAATTGCTCAGTCCAACCAGACTACAGAACGTTACCGCTATAGAGCGAATGCTTGTGCAGCTTGGTAAGAGCTCTTTATTTTGAAGTTTTGCTTGAACACTCTTTTTCTTTGCGATATTTGAACGGATCAAGTTCACATTAAATAATGAGCATGAGATATTTCATACTTAAGATGTCGTACTTGAATTTTAGCAACGAAATATGTTCTTGACTATTTCGATCTTCATTGTCAATTCAGTGCAAAATGCCTTGAAAATCTATTAACCTCTTAAAGATGTGGTAGTAATTTCTCTTCTTCTTTTTTTCTAAAAAAAAAGTTCTTTTTTTCTGGATGCTGCATTTTTCGAAATTTTTCCTGTAAAGATTATCGCTTAAGAAATCTATGGTATAACCACAGAAGACTCAAATAATGTTGCTCACATTTTTTCTTGGAATTCTAAGTTTATGTTTTCACAAAATAATAGTGTAAAGGTTACGTATCCATCTATAGGATACTTTAGTATTCTACATCGTTCTTACGTTTCTCGAGCTAGTTATTTGAATGTTGAGGAAAGGTCCAGTTGAGTATCAGTTACTCTGTTTGCTATGAAAGTATAAAATTCAACTGTTAGATTTCTTGTCTCCGTAGCAAAAGAAAGCACCATACCATGCATTTGTATTCATTTATTTGACGCATGCGTGCTTGGATGTGCGTGTGTGTGTATGCTAACGGTACTCTGCACTTGTGTACTGTCAGTAGCCTGTACACAAATGATAGTTGGGAGCAGTTCGAGGGTTTGAGGGTGTAATCAAACAAACGCGTTCAACGTATAGTTTTTGGGGCCAAGGATGGGACATTCAACACACTGGCGAAGACATGAGTCGTATGTGAATCATTCGCTTCGAAACTATTCAGTTGTCTTATAATTTGTTCCTCATTTCAATTGTTATTTAGCCAAAAATGATATGCAGCCATTAGCTGGGCAAAGATTGGATGCCTTCTTCCCATTGAGAACGTGGCTGGCGATTAGAGAGTCGTTGAGGTCATTTCTGAGGTGGTTTAGTCCTCGAATTTTTCTCCCGCAGATGCTGCTTTGAGGCGCGCTAGAGATAATAATCCGATGAAGCAAAATTAGCGCTATACGATGGATATGCTACCGTGGTCCAGCTCACTTTCTCGAAAGTGAGAGTCAACTGTGCAACGTAAGGCCCAACGTTTTCCTGGAGAAAGGCGACACTGAGTCATTTCGGACGCTTCTCTCCACTGTTGCGGCCAACTTCTGGAGTATTTCCTTTCGACGTCGACATTGATTCTTGCCTTTTTGTCGAGCAGATTTCATCATAGCATGCCCTGTCGATCTTAGAAAATTCAGAGCGTACTCTTTCGAACAGCGAACTAGGGCTTCAATCAAGCTGACGGGTCTTTGCTGCGAAGCAATTAGGAGGCCTGGCGTATTTTGCTCTCATAGTAAACCCCGGGCTCATCTCTAGTGAAGAGTGAGTTAAGAAAGTCCATCTCATGGGGTGACAGCAGAAGGCTTACGGAGATGATCAAGCGTGTAGCGCGGTTGTAGTCGGTCAGTGCATAAGAAGTTCATTGAGACATCACTCCAAAGTATGTTTTTTATCCAATAGTGTTAAATGATGTGCAAAATTTTGAACGTCCGACGAGTAACCCATTTTATTTTGATGGCAAATGATTACGGCCGTATCCAAATGTCTGCTGGAGCAATCTCCAACACACCACAGCCTCTCGGCACTAACCCATTTTGGAAAAAAAAAGCGGTTAAAACATTAGTGCGAAAAAAATTCTTTTCGCAAATCAATCCATAGCCAACATTGAGTCTTGTATGACATTCCCTACTCTTTCATTTGATGAACAAAAAATTTGCCGCAGGTACAAAGTTATTCCATAGCTTATCCGGCGCAAATATTATGACTGCCAAGTGGAACCTCATTATTCATTATCTACGAAAGACGTTTTATGAACGAGTTTATCTGTTTACTTTCAACCCTGCGATAAGCGCTATTATATCTGATGTATTTGTACACCTAACTTCGAGGCGCAGGAGTACTCTCTCACTAATTAGGAGGTTGATCATTGAGGGAACATATGCAGTCATGAGTGTGGTGCGTGGAAGTACTAACGTGTGCACCTTGAGCATTCATCAATGTGTCATCATAAAATACTCCTTTCGAAGCGCTACATAATCTGCTTTCTTATTTCCGTAGTGTATTAAATGACGTTATAAACATTGCACTTCAAAACATCTGCATTACAATCTGCAGTTTTTTTTCCATTTGACACTTTTTCACGCTATTGATTACAGACTGCAACTTTTCCAAAGTGCGCTGCTTGCACGCAGTCTACAGACAGTTGCAACCACTACGCTTTTCCATCCCATACAAATTCTCTGCGCTAATTGCTGAAACAATCAGCACAGAATTCTTTGCTGCGTTAACTCTTGATACATCCTACCTACTTGACATATAGATTCCATTAGATTTGACGATGTAACGTCTTAATTTTTCTTGCTTATAAAATCAACAGGAGCGCATGTGGGGCAGTGGTTAGAGGTGCTCTGCGTCGCACACGAGGTCAATGGTTCGATCTCGCACTCATGGCTCACCAAGC